TAAAGAAAAATTACTGAAATTTTTGTAAAAATTCAAATATCGCACAAGCACAATTTTTCGTCCATGCATAACGAATGTCCACCTTTACTCGCAAAAAATTAAAAAAATTATAACTCTTGTAATATGTTGAATTTTTGAAATATGCAAGTTGTGCTGAATTGTGCTCAGATATCGAAAAACTAAAGGTTGTGCTGATTTATGCTAACCTAGCACATTTTTTCGTCCATACATTGAAAATTTGTACTTCCACTCGTTACTAGTAAAAATTGCAAAAAATTACATATTTAAAGAAAAATTACTGAAATTTTTGTAAAAAATCAAATATCGCACAAGCACAGTATTTCGTCCATGCATAACGAATGTCCACCTTTACTCGTTACTCCCTAAAAATTAAAAAAATGTAAACTTTTGTAATATGTGGAATTTTTGAAATCTGCAAGCTGTGCTGAATTGTGCTCACCTAGCACAATTTTTCGTCCATAGATTAAAAATTTGTATCTCTACTCGTTACTCGTTAAAATCTTAAAAATCAAAATCGCATATTTAGAAACTAGATGTTGAAAAACTAAAAGTAGTGCTGATTTGTGCTAACCTAGCACAATTTTTCGTCCATACATTAAAAATTTGTATCTCTACTCGATACTCGTTAAAATCTTTAAAATCAAAATCACATATTTAGAAACAAGATATCGAAAAACTAAAAGTTGTGCTGAATTGAGCTCACCTAGCACAAGTTTTCGTCCATACATTGAAAATTTGTATTTCCACTCGTTACTAGCTAAAAATAAAAAAATATTTAAATCTAGCAATATGTGAAAAATTGCAAGTTGTGCTGAGTTGTGCTCATTTAGCACAATTTTTCGTCCATACATAACGAATTTCCACCTCGTTACTCGCTAAAAATAAAAAAATATTTAAATCTTGCAATATGTGAAAATCTGTAAGTTGTGTTGAAATGTGCTCACCTAGCACAATTTTTCGTCCATACATTGGAGATTTGTATCCCTACTAGTTACTCATTATAATCATAAATATCAAAATCGCATATTTAGAAACAAGATATCAAAAAATTAAAAGTTGTGCTGATTTGTGCTAACCTAGCACAAATTTTCGGCCATATATTGAAAATTTGTACTTCCACTCGTTACTAATTAAATTTGCAAAAAAATATGTATTTAAAGAAAAATTACTGAAATTTTTGTAAATATTCAAATATCGCACAAGCACAATTTTTCGTCCATGCATAACGAATGTCCAGCTTTACTCGTTACTCTCTAAAACTTAAAAAAATTTAAACATTTGTAATATGTGGAATTCTTGAAATCTGCAAGTTGTGCTGAATTGTGCTCAGATATTGAAAAACTAAAAGTTGTGCTGATTTGTGCTAACCTAGCATAATTTTCCGTCCATACATTGAAAATTTGTATTTCCACTCGTTACTAGTTAAAATTGGAAAAAATACATATATAAAGAAAAATTAATCAAATTTTTGTAAAAATTCAAATATCGCGATGCTGTAAATTGTGCTGAGTTATGCTCACTAAGCACAATCGTCCATACGTAACGAATTTCCCCTTTACTCGTTACTCTCTAAAAATTAAAAAAATTAACTTTTAAATATATGGAATTTTTTAAATCTGCACGTTGTGCTGTATTGTGCTCAGATATCGAAAAACTAAAAGTTGTGCTGATTTGTGCTAACCTAGCACAATTTTTCGTCCATACATTAGAAATTTGGATTGCTACTCGTTACTCGTAAAAATCAAAACCACATATTTAGAAACAAGATAAAGAAAAACTAAAAGTTGTGCTGAATTGTGCTAACCTAGCACAATTTTTCGTCCATACATTGAACATTTGTATTTCTACTCGTTACTAGCTAAAATTGGACAAAAATACATATATAAGAATAATTACTGAAATTTTTGGAAAAAATCAAATATCGAGATGCGGTAAATTGTGCTGAGCATAATTTTCCGTCCATACATTGAAAATTTGTATTTCCACTCGTTACTAGTTAAAATTGGAAAAAATACATATATAAAGAAAAATTAATCAAATTTTTGTAAAAATTCAAATATCGCGATGCTGTAAATTGTGCTGAGTTATGCTCACTAAGCACAATCGTCCATACGTAACGAATTTCCCCTTTACTCGTTACTCTCTAAAAATTAAAAAAAATTAACTTTTAAATATATGGAATTTTTTAAATCTGCACGTTGTGCTGTATTGTGCTCAGATATCGAAAAACTAAAAGTTGTGCTGATTTGTGCTAACCTAGCACAATTTTTCGTCCATACATTAGAAATTTGGATTGCTACTCGATACTCGTAAAAATCAAAACCGCATATTTAGAAACAAGATAACGAAAAACTAAAAGTTGTGCTGAATTGTGCTAACCTAGCACAATTTTCCGTTCATACATTGAAAATTTGTATTTCCACTTGTTACTAGCTAAAATTGGAGAAAAATATATATACAAAGAAAAATTGCTGTAATATTTGTAAAAACTCAAATATCGCGATGCCGTAAATTGTGCTCATTTAGCACAGTTTTTCGTCTATAAATAACGAATTTCCACCTTTACTCGTTACTCGCTAAAAATTAAAAAAAATTTATAATTCTTGTAATATGTGGAATTTTTGAAATCTGCAAGTTGTGCTGAATTGTGCTCACCTAGCACAATTTTTCGTCCATAGATTAAAAATTTGTAGCACAGATAGATTAAAACCTAGCACAGATTAAAAACCTAGCACAGTTTTTCGTCCATACATTTAAAATTTGTATTTCCACTCGTTACTAGTTAAAATTGGAAAAATACATATTTAAAGAAAAATCACTGAAATTTTTGTAAAAATTCAAATATCGCACAACCACAATTTTTCGCCCATGCATAACGAATGTCCACCTTTACTCGTTACTTGCTAATACTTAAAAAATGTAAACATTTGTAATATGTGGAATTCTTGAAATCTGCAAGTTGTGCTGAATTGTGCTCAGATATTGAAAAACTAAAAGCTGTGCTGATTTGTGCTAACCTTGCACAATTTTTCTTCCACATATTGAAAGTTTGTATTTTCACTCGTTACTAGTTAAAATTGGAAAAATACATATATAATGAAATATTACTGAAATTTTTGTAAAAATTCAAATATCGAGATTGGGTAAATTGTGCTGAGTTGTGCTCACCTAGCACAATTTTTCGTCCATACATTGGAAATTTTTATTCGTACTAGTTACTCGTTACAATCATAAATATTAAAATCGCATATTTAGAAACAAGATATCGAAAAATTAAAAGTTGTGCTGATTTGTGCTAACCTAGCACAATTTTTCGTCCATACATTAGAAATTTGGATTGCTACTCGATACTCGTAAAAATCAAAACCGCATATTTAGAAACAAGATACCGAAAAACTAAAAGTTGTGCTGAATTGTGCTAACCTAGCACAATTTTCCGTTCATACATTGAAAATTTGTATTTCCACTTGTTACTAGCTAAAATTGGAGAAAAATATATATACAAAGAAAAATTGCTGTAATATTTGTAAAAACTCAAATATCGCGATGCCGTAAATTGTGCTCATTTAGCACAGTTTTTCGTCTATACATAACGAATTTCCACCTTTACTCGTTACTCGCTAAAAATTAAAAAAAATTTATAATTCTTGTAATATGTGGAATTTTTGAAATCTGCAAGTTGTGCTGAATTGTGCTCACCTAGCACAATTTTTCGTCCATAGATTAAAAATTTGTATCTCTACTCGTTACTCGTTAAAATCTTAAAAATCAAAATCGCATATTTAGAAACAAGACATCGAAAAATTAAAAGTTGTGCTGATATGTGCTAACCTAGCACAATTTTTCGTCCGTACATTTAAAATTTGTATTTCCACTCGTTACTAGTTAAAATTGGAAAAATACATATTTAAAGAAAAATCACTGAAATTTTTGTAAAAATTCAAATATCGCACAACCACAATTTTTCGTCCATGCATAACGAATGTCCACCTTTACTCGTTACTTGCTAATACTTTAAAAAAATGTAAACATTTGTAATATGTGGAATTCTTGAAATCTGCAAGTTGTGCTGAATTGTGCTCACATAGCACAACTTTTCGCCCATACATTAAAAATTTGTATCGCTACTCGTTACTCGTAAAAATCAAAATCGCATATTTAGAAACAAGATATCGAAAAATTAAAAGTTGTGCTGATATGTGCTAACCTAGCACAATTTTTCGTCCATACATTGAAAATTTGTACTTCCACTCGTTGCTATTTAAAATTGAAAAAAATACATATTTAAAGAAAAATTACTGAAATTTTTGTAAAAATTCAAATATCGGAGAAGCACAATTTTTCATCCATGCATAACGAATTTCCACCTTTACTCGTTACTCGCTAAAAATTAAAAAAATGTAAACTTTTGTAATATGTGAAATTTTTGAAATCTGCAAGTTGTGCTGAATTGTGCTCACATAGCACAACTTTTCGCCCATACATTAAAAATTTGTATCGCTACTCGTTACTCGTAAAAATCAAAATCGCATATTTAGAAACAAGATATCGAAAAATTAAAAGTTGTGCTGATATGTGCTCACATAGCACAATTTTTCGCCCATACATTAAAAATTTGTATCTCTACTCGTTACTCGTTAAAATCTTAAAAATCAAAATCGCATATTTACAGCCTGTTCCACGATGTCGAAAGAACACGTTCGCACAACTTTTACACGACAAACAGCTGATTTCCGTTCCACTAAAATCCATCAGAACGAAAATTTGCACGAAAATCAAAGCGAACGAAAACGTAAGCGTTTCAGTGTAATTTTGCGTTCCACTATCTTTTTTCTTTCTTACGCATGCGAACACAAATGTCAAAATCAGTCACTTGTGTGTTTGCTGTCGAATGATAAAAATTAAGGAAAATTGTTTTAACATAAACATTCCTTGATGGAAAATGGAAAGAAAAATGTAAGTAAAAATAATAAATGCAATTTAATCTGTGAACAACAAATATATATTTTTTTATTTTCTCAATTCCAGCACGAAAAAACTACACAGCTGCGGGCACTAGTTGAGTATATGGGGGAGAATCCTAAGTTCGCCAGAGGAGTGTCAATTTTTGGAAGCAGCAGGCAATCCCATGAAGACCACTGGAAGACACAAACCTAGAAAAAATCATTTTTTTATTATTTCAAAAATGTAAAAATACAATCATACTTACTGGTTGTTAGGTACTTCAAATAAATTCGAAGCATCTCTTAAATGCCTCCGTGGCACAATTTGAACCTCCTCCTCATCATCCATAAAAAATAGGGCTACAGAAATATTCATTTTTTTCTTTTTTAAGAACACAAATAATCTGAACACAATCACTAGGAATTTTATTTTGTTTGTTTATTTACAATTTATTTGTTTACAACTGAACTGTCAGTTGAGACAGAGCCACTGCTGCTTTTTCGCGTTTAAATTAGACATTTGGCGCTTTTTTTTGCCTTATTTCGCGATTAATTCTACCAAAAAATATTTAGCAACACTGAATCACGTAAGGCTATGCGAAAGAAAGAACGAAAGTTAGTGGAACGCATTCTTATGCGAAAGTGAGTGAGTAGCCTTCGTTCGCACAAATTTTCTTTCGAGATCGTGGAACAGGCTGTTAGAAACAATTTTTCGTCCATACATAACGAAGTTCCACCTTTACTCGTTACTCGCTAAAAGTTAAAAAAAATGTATAACTGTTGTAAAATGTGGAATTTTTGAAATCTGCAAGTTGTGCTGAATTGTGCTCAGATATCGAAAAACTAAAAGTTGTGCTGAATTGTGCTCACCTAGCACAATTTTTCGTCCATAGATTAAAAATTTGTATCTCTACTCGTTAAAATCTTAAAAATCAAAATCGCATATTTAGAAACAAGACATCGAAAAATTAAAAGTTGTGCTGATATGTGCTAACCTAGCACAATTTTTCGTCCATACATTGAAAATTTGTACTTCCACTCGTTACTAGTTAAAATTGGAAGAAATACATATTTAAAGAAAAATTACTGAAATTTTTGTAAAAATTCAAATATCGCACAAGCACAATTTTTCGTCCATGCATAACGAATGTCCACCTTTACTCGCAAAAAATTAAAAAAATTATAACTCTTGTAATATGTTGAATTTTTGAAATATGCAAGTTGTGCTGAATTGTGCTCAGATATCGAAAAACTAAAGGTTGTGCTGATTTATGCTAACCTAGCACATTTTTTCGTCCATACATTGAAAATTTGTACTTCCACTCGTTACTAGTAAAAATTGCAAAAAATTACATATTTAAAGAAAAATTACTGAAATTTTTGTAAAAAATCAAATATCGCACAAGCACAGTATTTCGTCCATGCATAACGAATGTCCACCTTTACTCGTTACTCCCTAAAAATTAAAAAAATGTAAACTTTTGTAATATGTGGAATTTTTGAAATCTGCAAGCTGTGCTGAATTGTGCTCACCTAGCACAATTTTTCGTCCATAGATTAAAAATTTGTATCTCTACTCGTTACTCGTTAAAATCTTAAAAATCAAAATCGCATATTTAGAAACAAGACATCGAAAAATTAAAAGTTGTGCTGATATGTGCTAACCTAGCACAATTTTTCGTCCATACATTTAAAATTTGTATTTCCACTCGTTACTAGTTAAAATTGGAAAAATACATATTTAAAGAAAAATCACTGAAATTTTTGTAAAAATTCAAATATCGCACAACCACAATTTTTCGTCCATGCATAACGAATGTCCACCTTTACTCGTTACTTGCTAATACTTTAAAAAATGTAAACATTTGTAATATGTGGAATTCTTGAAATCTGCAAGTTGTGCTGAATTGTGCTCACATAGCACAACTTTTCGCCCATACATTAAAAATTTGTATCGCTACTCGTTACTCGTAAAAATCAAAATCGCATATTTAGAAACAAGATATCGAAAAATTAAAAGTTGTGCTGATATGTGCTAACCTAGCACAATTTTTCGTCCGTACATTGAAAATTTGTACTTCCACTCGTTGCTATTTAAAATTGAAAAAAATACATATTTAAAGAAAAATTACTGAAATTTTTGTAAAAATTCAAATATCGGAGAAGCACAATTTTTCATCCATGCATAACGAATTTCCACCTTTACTCGTTACTCGCTAAAATTAAAAAAATGTAAACTTTTGTAATATGTGAAATTTTTGAAATCTGCAAGTTGTGCTGAATTGTGCTCACATAGCACAATTTTTCGTCCATACATTGAACATTTGTATTTCTACTCGTTACTAGCTAAAATTGGACAAAAATACATATATAAGAATAATTACTGAAATTTTTGGAAAAAATCAAATATCGAGATGCGGTAAATTGTGCTGAGCATAATTTTCCGTCCATACATTGAAAATTTGTATTTCCACTCGTTACTAGTTAAAATTGGAAAAAATACATATATAAAGAAAAATTAATCAAATTTTTGTAAAAATTCAAATATCGCGATGCTGTAAATTGTGCTGAGTTATGCTCACTAAGCACAATCGTCCATACGTAACGAATTTCCCCTTTACTCGTTACTCTCTAAAAATTAAAAAAAAATTAACTTTTAAATATATGGAATTTTTTAAATCTGCACGTTGTGCTGTATTGTGCTCAGATATCGAAAAACTAAAAGTTGTGCTGATTTGTGCTAACCTAGCACAATTTTTCGTCCATACATTAGAAATTTGGATTGCTACTCGTTACTCGTAAAAATCAAAACCTCATATTTAGAAACAAGATAAAGAAAAACTGAAAGTTGTGCTGAATTGTGCTAACCTAGCACAATTTTTCGTTCATACATTGAACATTTGTATTTCTACTCGTTACTAGCTAAAATTGGACAAAAATACATACATAAGAATAATTACTGAAATTTTTGGAAAAAATCAAATATCGAGATGCGGTAAATTGTGCTGAGCATAATTTTCCGTCCATACATTGAAAATTTGTATTTCCACTCGTTACTAGTTAAAATTGGAAAAAATACATATATAAAGAAAAATTAATCAAATTTTTGTAAAAATTCAAATATCGCGATGCTGTAAATTGTGCTGAGTTATGCTCACTAAGCACAATCGTCCATACGTAACGAATTTCCCCTTTACTCGTTACTCTCTAAAAATTAAAAAAAATTAACTTTTAAATATATGGAATTTTTTAAATCTGCACGTTGTGCTGTATTGTGCTCAGATATCGAAAAACTAAAAGTTGTGCTGATTTGTGCTAACCTAGCACAATTTTTCGTCCATACATTAGAAATTTGGATTGCTACTCGTTACTCGTAAAAATCAAAACCGCATATTTAGAAACAAGATAAAAAAAAACTAAAAGTTGTGCTGAATTGTGCTAACCTAGCACAATTTTTCGTCCATACATTGAACATTTGTATTTCTACTCGTTACTAGCTAAAATTGGACAAAAATACATATATAAGAATAATTACTGAAATTTTTGGAAAAAATCAAATATCGAGATGCGGTAAATTGTGCTGAGCATAATTTTCCGTCCATACATTGAAAATTTGTATTTCCACTCGTTACTAGTTAAAATTGGAAAAAATACGTATATAAAGAAAAATTAATCAAATTTTTGTAAAAATTCAAATATCGCGATGCTGTAAATTGTGCTGAGTTATGCTCACTAAGCACAATCGTCCATACGTAACGAATTTCCCCTTTACTCGTTACTCGTTAAAAATTAAAAAAAAATTAACTTTTAAATATATGGAATTTTTTAAATCTGCACGTTGTGCTGTATTGTGCTCAGATATCGAAAAACTAAAAGTTGTGCTGATTTGTGCTAACCTAGCACAATTTTTCGTCCATACATTAGAAATTTGGATTGCTACTCGATACTCGTAAAAATAAAAACCGCATATTTAGAAACAAGATAACGAAAAACTAAAAGTTGTGCTGAATTGTGCTAACCTAGCACAATTTTCCGTTCATACATTGAAAATTTGTATTTCCACTTGTTACTAGCTAAAATTGGAGAAAAATATATATACAAAGAAAAATTGCTGTAATATTTGTAAAAACTCAAATATCGCGATGCCGTAAATTGTGCTCATTTAGCACAGTTTTTCGTCTATACATAACGAATTTCCACCTTTACTCGTTACTCGCTAAAAATTAAAAAAAAATTTATAATTCTTGTAATATGTGGAATTTTTGAAATCTGCAAGTTGTGCTGAATTGTGCTCACCCAGCACAATTTTTCGTCCATAGATTAAAAATTTGTAGCACAGATAGATTAAAACCTAGCACAGATTAAAAACCTAGCACAGTTTTTCGTCCATACATTTAAAATTTGTATTTCCACTCGTTACTAGTTAAAATTGGAAAAATACATATTTAAAGAAAAATCACTGAAATTTTTGTAAAAATTCAAATATCGCACAACCACAATTTTTCGCCCATGCATAACGAATGTCCACCTTTACTCGTTACTTGCTAACACTTAAAAAAATGTAAACATTTGTAATATGTGGGATTCTTGAAATCTGCAAGCTGTGCTGATTTGTGCTAACCTTGCACAATTTTTCTTCCACATATTGAAAGTTTGTATTTTCACTCGTTACTAGTTAAAATTGGAAAAATACATATATAATGAAATATTACTGAAATTTTTGTAAAAATTCAAATATCGAGATGCGGTAAATTGTGCTGAGTTGTGCTCACCTAGCACAATTTTTCGTCCATACATTGGAAATTTTTATTCGTACTAGTTACTCGTTACAATCATAAATATTAAAATCGCATATTTAGAAACAAGATATCGAAAAATTAAAATTTGTGCTAACCTAGCACAATTTTTCGTCCATACATTGAAAATTTGTACTTCCGCTCGTTACTAGTTAAAATTGCAAAAAAAAAATACATACTTAAAGAAAAATTACTGAAATTTTTGTAAAAATTCAAATATCGCACAAGCACAATTTTTCGTCCATGCATAACGAATGTCCAACTTTACTCGTTACTCTCTAAAACTTAAAAAAAATGTAAACATTTGTAATATGTGGAATTCTTGAAATCTGCAAGTTGTGCTGAATTGTGCTCAGATATTGAAAAACTAAAAGTTGTGCTAATTTGTGCTAACCTAGCACAATTTTCCGTCCATACATTGAAAATTTGTATTTCCACTCGTTACTAGTTAGAATTGGAAAAAATACATATATAAAGAAAAATTAATCAAATTTTTGTAAAACTTCAAATATCGCGATGCTGTAAATTGTGCTGAATTGTGCTCACTAAGCACAATCGTCCATACATAACGAATTTCCCCTTTACTCGTTACTCGCTAAAAATTAAAAAAAAAATTAACTTTTGAATATATGGAATTTTTTAAATCTGCACGTTGTGCTGTATTGTGCTCAGATATCGAAAAACTAAAAGTTGTGCTGATTTGTGCTAACCTAGCACAATTTTTCGTCCATACATTGAACATTTGTATTTCTACTCGTTATTAGCTAAAATCTTACAAAAATACATATATAAAGAATAATTACTGAAATTTTTCGAAAAAATCAATCATCGAGATGCGGTAAATTGTGCTGAGTTGTGCTCACTTAGCACAATTTTTCGTCCATACATAACGAGTTTCC